CACAGATCTCTTAGCATACCACTGAAGAGTGTGGTGGGTGAGAGAGCGATCGAAGTGACCCCATACTCATGGCCCATAAGTGTGCGCTTGCACGTCACTGCCTCTACATCCCAGCACTTCACCGTCCGATCGCTTGAGCCACTGTACAGTTCGTCTGTGTGTTCGTCTGTTGCCAAAGTATGTACACCCCCTCGATGCCCGAAGAGATGTGGACCGCTTAATCTGTCAGAGAGTTGTTAGAGAAGAGTCGTTTAAACTGATAAGATGGAATGTGATACATATTGTGTCATTCTATGAACACCCCTACCTGTCCTGTGTGTGTACACATACTCACTTGTAAGGGGCGTACTCGGTACAGCCGTCGCCGGTTGTGCGTTTGTCTCCGGCATCGTATGTGCTGATGTACTTCACAGATTTTGGCGTAACAACCCTACTTTAAACACTCACGCATGTCAGCCCTATCCACGGGGGACTTGTATGCTTCGTCATAAACACTCACACATGTACAATGAACAGTCATACGGGTGCGTGTGTGTGTGTGTGTGTGTGTGCACTTGCCTGTGGGGGGAGTGTGTAGTACAGTCGTCGCCGCTGGTGCGTTCGTCACTGAAATGAAACGTTTTGATGGATCCATCACCCGCCGCAGTGCAGACCCAGCGCCCCAGTATGGCCATTGCGTGCACAAATCCACCTTTGAATTTATGTTAGTAGGACAAGGGAGGATGTTTAGGTGTACTGTGCATATGAGTGTATGCTGCTACGCCGATGTGCATGTGTGTATTCGTTAAGGGGTAAGAAAGAAAAAAGAGTGAGGTTTAGTATGTGATATACGTAGAGGTGAACTGTACTACGTTTCGCAATATACTAACAGAGACGATACGCCTACGCCTGAAAGCGCAACATGCGGCCCCAACTGCACAGTTCTCTTCTGTGCATATTTTGTATGCATAAATGATGGAGTGGGATACACTACTACACTACTTGTTGAATTGAGATAAATGTTCAGGGAGAGAACTTCACTACTACACTACTTATTGAATTGAGATAGATGTTCAGGGAGAAAACTTCGAGTCTACTACGCATCCCAACAAGGCTACTAAATGCACACAATCTACCTTTATTGTCGTATGACCATAGAAAACAGAGATGAGGCATAGTGTGTGTTGGTGTAATTCGTTTTCGGGTATTCCGTGGGATGCCGCATCTTGTATTTATATCGTACGAAACTACATCGAAAACATACGCAACTGTCCATGTTCGATCATTAAGCCCTGCTCTACGAAAGTAGCCGTGGCCAGTTGAAATGAAATACGAACGCATCGCTCAGTGCCTCGAACGCATGTACCCCGTATTGGCCACACACAACAGTAAATAATAGTATACTTGTACATGAATATACATATACATATACATATATGTATGTCAAGTATTTAGCATATACATACACCGACTCTTTGTTCATGATCAGCTTTGACTGCAAGACATTTCGATAGAGGGCCATGGTTTCCTGGAAACACATTCGCACTACTAAGCGTGTCAATTGCTTGTTCCCCGTATTAATCATCTACTACAGTACCTAGTCGTATAGTGATAAATGAACATGAATATACGTACATACACACATACACAAATTGCTCCCTGTAGGAATCACCTACTAGAGTATATAATCGTATAGTGATGTATAAGCATAGATGTATATGTTCATACACAGATACACTAACATATATATAGATACATATAATGATCAACATGCACGAAAACTGCGTTGCTCCTAGTTCATGACAAGATTGGCCTAATAGGCGTCTACGATAAATGGTCGTGATTTCCAGATCTACATCTGCACTACAGAACGCAATCGTACACTATAATTGATGATTATATATATATATATATATATGTTATATATATACATCTATATAC